TATTTCAGACAAGTCTTTTATCATCCCATGTTTGCATTCTCCATGTGTGAGATGGGTGTCTATCCCTTTTTCTTACCAGCTGCCGTACCTGTGTTCTCTGCAGTCCTCATGGGTAGGAACTATTTCTCACACAAACCGCTCATTTTAACAGTCAGAGTTGTGGGTAAAGTTAATTAATTAGAAACATACCTTATATTCCAAGCCTGCCTGTCAGCTGTGCCAGCTGAAAGGCACACTTAGCCACCTTCAATTCAGGGAGAGTTCAGCCTTACCCATTCTACTGCTTTTGGCTTCTCACCATCACCTCTTTCTGCACAGGACCTGGTTCATCTCCTGCCCTCAAATCTGCTCTATCCTTTCCTCTCCTGAGAGTTTCTCAGAAATGAAGGATCCTGCCACAGTAACTCATAAAGTGATCAATTTATCTTCTAAAAGCCATCTAGTATTTTCTTAGAATAAAATGTTTTCAAGAAAGGTATATCACAAAATCAGTAAACCCAAAATGTGTGTGCCCTTTTCCCCATATCTTAGTGTTTCCTGGATCCAAGAAGGCTGATTATCCTTACATTCCCTCCACTGACTCTGCCTGTCAGCTTGGCATCAATTCTGGTAATTGACCTTCCATTCCTTCTTCTGAAGTGCTTTAAAACACATTACAGTTCTTTTGATCTACAGTCTGCTGATTTAGTTAGGAAGCTGATTGCTATCTGCTGGAGCTGGGATGCTTGAAACTAACAGCTTGTCTGCCACATTCTTGGCAGAGTACCTCCTGTCTCCTCTTGAGAGGTTGTGTAGCTTTTCTGCATGCATTCCAAAAGCCCCAAATCAGTTTTAATCAGTCAGTTCCTATAAGGCACAGTGATACTTCACTCTAAGTCTGCAGTAACTAACATGTGGACAATATTCCCATGGTAACCTGCAATATTGCTGCTATGACTGCGTATAAGGAGTTCTTTTCAGTTCCTTCAGTGTAGCTTATCAAACAGTGGAAAAGTTTGTGCAGGGAAGTGTTTGAATCACCACTCTTGGAGGGCTTTTAAATTCATTTCTGGATGGTTTTGATGGGTAACCTCTAGTTCCTGTATCATGGTACAGTGAATAACAGTTCTTCATTCACTTTATACACTGCTTTAATTATTTTGTAAATCTTTATCTCACCTTCCAGCACCCTGTTGAGGACTCCTGTCCTTTTTAGAATCTTCTCATAAAGCAGCTTCTCCATCACCATGATCATCTTAGCTACCTTCCTCCATACCTTCTCTAACTCTACTACATCCTTCTTGAGTCACAGAGATCAGAACCTATCACAGGACTCAAGATATGGACAAATAAAGGTTCTAACAGTAACAAAATAATGTCCTTTGTCTTGTTCTCAGTACTTTTCCAAATTATGTCAAACTTTTTTTTTTTAAAAGTTTCATAATGAACTGATGGTCTCAATTGTTTCTGGGATCTTTTTAGAGAGCTGTGTGTCAGTTTGGATTTTGGTATCCTGCAGCCATGGTTCAGGTTATTCTTTCCCTATATTTATTGCCTTGCATTTGTAGTAAAACATACTTGTACTCCTACAAAACCTTTTTCTGTCACTCTAATTTGTGAAGTCCGAGTTCTGCGCTATTGACCATATGATCACTTGCAAATCTTTCAAATCAGGAGACAGCTTTTCACCAGAAAGAATCGTGTCCCCAGGTTGTGTACAAAGCCTGCATTTTTCTTACTGCCTGCAGAAGTGCAAGGCCAGATGGGAAGCCACTCCTGCCATACCTTTTCAGGACCATGATTTTGTGTAGGGTTTAAAACACATGGCCCCAGCAGTTTGACTTAACACAGCTGCTAGAAAATTCAGCACAAAAGCAACTGCACTTATCCTCTCTTCTTTCCGTGGAGCCAGAGAAAATCAGATCATGTCTGTGTAATGTCACACTAATTCTTCTAAAATATTAAATCCTGAAAACGAAGCACAGCACCTTTGAGTTTAAAAGTCATGTTCCAGATTTTGCTGTCAGCTCTATTATTCTCTGGAGCTTAGTTTTTGCCTGCAATATTATTATGTATAAAACTTCAACTTTTACAATTGATTTAATTTTTAAAGCAAGCAAAGTGCAGGTTTGTAAGTGTCGAGATGAACTGGATCCCAGCTGCCATTTTAGCTTCCATCAAGGTTTCCATGTGTACAAATATTCCAGTTCTTACAACAAGTGGATAAAATTCAACATGCTGTCCTGTGATTTTAGCAAAACACATCAGATGATGCAAAGAGAGTACATTTAGGTGTAACATGCTAACCCTCACAGATGGCTTTGCAGCCTAAGTTGGCCCTGCTTTATGAGGAAAATGAGATGAGGTAAGAAAGCCTGTGGTCATGGGGAAAATCTTTGCTGTGTCCCAAAATGCAACTGCCTACTGTAGAAACTCTTTTAAAAGGTCCAGATGTCTTAGCTAGCAGCTGAAATTATGCCCCTTTATGCCTTAATGCACATGAAGTCACTGTCTAATGTTTTTTCTCTATGGCTTTAGGGGATAAATTTCTTAATTTTTTTAACAATCAGCAGAAGCCACAGCTTTTAAACCACGAAGGAATTAATATATATACACTAACTTAATGAATGCATTTCCAGTGACATTTGTCTTTGATGTGCCTGCAGCAGATTCATAGTCCAAAGATGTCTTTTGTTCAGAATGACATGCTTTCTAATTTATTGTAACATTCTACCATCCTGTGCTTTAAAATTAGCAGGTGGAACTTTTCAGAGCCTCAGATGTCATTTAAATGCCTAATTTCTACAGAAAGTAAATGGGAATGAGGTATACAGTTGTCATTCATGCCCTTGAATATTTTTTTTTCTGCTCTTATTGGTCCTCATAAATTGCTTGGTTAAATCTGCTGTATATTTAAAAAGAGGTCCCAGGAAGCACGTGGACCTTGCCATGCAAACGGGTACCTCGGTGTTGGCCTGAGCAGAAATGCTTGGCAGGATTTTATGTTTCCACAAGCTGCACTAAAGCAACAATCATGGCTTTAAATATGGGTCCTGAGTGCTCTGGAAGATGCTTTCCATGCTGCAGTAGGGAGTTGGGCTGCACATTTACTGTCAGCAAAGACAATGAGGCAGGTCTTAAGAGTGCCTTTGGGTGTTCTGAGAAGGCAGCAGTAAGCACACCCCTTGGAGCCATTCTCTGCCTCATTTGTTATTGCTTTGTCAAAAACATTTGTCAATGAAGACTGATTTTCAAAAGAATCTCATTTGGGAGTCTGGAAGTAAAGAGCTATAATATGAAACATCTTTAAAGGTAAATCAATTTTGTGGCCTAATCAACTGAACAGCATCCCTTTAGCTTCAGCATCAGAAATGCTGCTGTATATTAATCTGCAGAATTTTTGTTTTATTTTTCTCCTTTCTCAGGGACAATATGTTCTTGAGTAATACTTCATTTGCAGGAAAGACAGACGTGCATAAATCACTGTGCACATGGTGGTAATTTCTAATAAAGATGTAATGGATAAGGGCAACTAGAAACTAATTTTAACTCTTTATCATTCAGGGAAAAGCTTTGAACATAGTAATTAATGATGGATGTGTCTGCTTTGTTACATATACTTAGAAACAAACAGTAAAAAAATATAAAAATTAATGAGTTAAACATTCAGCCTTATCAGCTTTGGTTTGTCTACATGGTATCTTAAAATGCGTAACAAATACCCCCAAGATTGATTTAACAATGGTTTGGGGTGCTAATTGTGGGGAATTATGGGGTACTAATTTTGGGGACTTTCATTTTTGGGCAGATATTACTTAGACTTTAAAGACCTAGACCAGTGAAATATTGCAGGTGCTCAACCTATTCTATTCTATTCTATTCTATTCTATTCTATTCTATTCTATTCTATTCTATTCTTTCCTGTTTTGGTGCCTAAAAGCCCTCTGGGTCTCCAGTATCTTAATCTAAGCTCCATTGAATTAATAAAGGTCTTTCTGTTTTCCTATGAAATTATAGTCTTAATACATTTGGACAAAACAAGCCTGTGGTTTACTTTAAATGCAAGCCTGAATCTCATTGCACATGTGGTTAATTGAAAAGATGAGTTTAACTGGAGCCTAAAACTAAAGATGTTTCTCCTGGATTAAGGCTGTAAGAAATTCTACTGATGATTCTACTGATGACATTTGTCAGCATTTTTTACTTAGAAGTATAAAATGGATGAAAGAGATTTTGAGACACCTGCCTATTCATCCTACTCAGAGCTGGTCTGCTTTACAGATTTGTTTTTTTTTATTTTTTTTTTTTCCTCCAGAACCCACAGTACAGTCAGAATTACATTGTGCTGAAGGAAATGGCTCTTAAAATTTATTAGTCTTGTCACTTCAACTACATAACCTTATTTTATGTTCATTTGAATGCACCTCACCAAAAATAGAACAAGATATCTGCTTCAAATTAAGAAAAAAATTAATACTTTAATACTCACAGATCCTCTATAAGATTATAAAAGTTGTCATTTATAACAAAAAATACATATCTGATTTATAGGGTATTTTCTTTATGCTGTACTGAGATTAAAATAAAATCTAAAATTTGGAATTTGCTTTCTTATGGGAAACACTAGAAGTCACTACAAGTAATCAGGAGAAATTCTGCCTTGCATTGCATAGGTAGTCTGCAGAAATTTGGCCCAATTTATTGATTTTATTTGCCTTTCTCCACTTTCCTACCTCTGACCCCTAAAAGGCCTAAAAACACCTCACAGAGGTAGAACTGAATTTCTGAGCTGAAGATGTTCACTTACAGCACTACTGAGAAAATTTACCTGGGAGAAAGTGAAACCTTGTGTATGTTACTTGCACTGAAGCCCTGAAAAATGATCTTGAACAGGATTTCAGTGGTGCATGGGATTCTACCTGTTCTGTTAGGCAAAGCAGTAAAAACTGTCTAAATTTAGATATCTTCATATAAACTCCCCAGAAAGTTCAGTGATTTTAGTTGCTTGGCTTTTCTTTCAGATATTTGGAAACTGTATTTCATCTGACCATTTAAACATGGGAAGAAAAAAATTACCAGCCAGTTAAGCAGAAAAGAAGATAGTCCAGGTTAGTAAGCAGTGAAAAATCCTTCTTTTTCCAGTTTTCTTTCACAATATTAATTAGCTGCTGTGCATTCTGATAGATGCATGAAACTTTAAGTCCAGATCTGCCCTTTCCTGCTTATGCATCCTGGTCCAATATCCATCAGGGCCTTTTCATCAATTCCATTTAAGACTGATAATTGCATATTCTCCAGAGCAAAGATGGTTTTATCTTTGTAAATGTCTGAGCAGTGCAGCTTGCACCTAAACCACTTCAATAATGAATGTTCATCCTTAAAGTCACCTACTGGTGTTTTCCTCACTAGGCTAAAGAAGAAAAGATGTCTGCAGAGGGCTTTTTGACTACATTAAAACACCACTTCATGTCATGCAGATTATCTTTGTAAAGGTGAACAATTGTCACGTAAGCTGCTTTTACAAAGAGGATTTATTACTTCCAGAGTGAAATGACAATTATTGAAATCTTAATAGTGGAATCCCCAGTTTGCAATTAACAGTACTTCTGTTAGAGCAGATGACAGGAGCAAAGATGAAGTTGATTTTTTTTTTTTTTTTACCATAGTTTTTCCTGGAGAAATGTTAGAGATCATAGCTGGAAATTAATATGCTTGAATAGCAATTTTTCCAGCTGCATAAATAATAATAAAGCCAGATATCATTCAGTGGTGTATAACTGAATGTGTGTAAATATATAAACTGCATTGCCTTGTATACATATATATATATATATGTATGTATGTGCATACATAAGTATATACACTTAAAAATATGATTATATTCTGTTAAAAATATATGATTATATACATTCTAAATATTCATAATTACTTAAACTAAATGTTAAGGCTGTGAAAATTTCTAAGATTCAAAAGCCAAAGAAAACCTGGTTTAGTTTCTTTTCTTTTTCCTTTGTGCACTTGCATTATTCCATCACATCTTTTTATGTAGTCAGTATTTTTATACTAATTTTGGTGGAAACAAAGCTTAGGGAATCACTCAAGCAGAGTGTGATATCACCTCCTAAAAGTTTTCCAGAAAAAAGAGGTTTCAAAAGCCATTCTGTTCTGCTAGATTTGCTGAAGAATGGCCTGTAGAGAATAAGAAACATTTATTTATAAACACTTGTAACATTGTCCCAGATAAATTTCTATTCTCTTGGCTGTAACTGCTCATATGTATGCAGGTAGTGGGTGATACTGTAGGGGAAAGAGATTACTTTAGCTTAATACTTGAGATGTTTAAGTAGACAAAGAAATTGAGGTTTTTGTCCCTACTTTGCTGGAGGACAGTTGGAGCAGGAAGAGAAGGCAAAACATGTTACCTCAGCCTCATAATCCAGTTATATATGGAGATAAAAGGAAATGTTGCTATAATTCAGTTAAAAAGTCAATCAACAAAGAGGCATAAATCCAGTAGAAACAAGACTTTATCAATTTTTGTCCTTGCAATAAGATTTGTTTCCATGGGAAATCCTAAGGAAGAAAAAAATTGCGTATTCAATCACTGGACCTAATACTAATTCAGTTTTCACTTTTTTTCTAGTTTGTTGTCTGGTGGGATACTTTGAGTTCTTCCCTGCCTTTCTTTGATGTAAACAGAATGATTCATTTCCATTTTCATTTCGTTTTGGGGTGTTTTCATGACACAGCCATTCTATTATCTTAGGACTTGACATTCCTCCATGGATGTCGACACATCTCAGTGAGCTGAGGAGTGTTTATCATGCACATCTGACACAACTGCAAGAGAGGCAGAGGGATTAAGCCCCTCAGTATTTAATTTTGGAGCTTTTTGTGCTTACTTTCTGCCAATACGTTTCTTTTTCTTTCTACATGTTTCCAAATTTTTTTGTGGTAACATCAGATTGATACAAATGTCTGATTCTCTGAGGAGATGATATAATGATCTGTGGTTTAGTAGATGAAACAGTGTTGACCAGTACTGCAGCATTTGTCACTTTTTCTTTTCCCACAGGAAAAGGATGTGTCACAAGTGATTTTGTAGCACAACTGATTTCCTCTTTGTTTAATGCTGACTGCCTTCCCCCCCTTCCCTCCAAACCTCATCCCCACGAGTTACACACAGACATCAAGTTATGAATATGTCTGGAGAAATGTTGGAGCAGCTGACCTGAGATCTGTATATTGTTATACAGCCTTAGTGTGACAGTGCTTTGGTTGTTTTTTCCTCAGTGCAGCAAATGAGATAAACCCTGCTGTTTGCTTTAATTAGCTACACTTAATTAAAAGATGATCTTATCTCTATGAAGAGTTCCTACCAAAGCACATATTTAATGCATCTATCATCATCTTTCAGTTCCAAATTCTACAAAAGCCCTTAAAGACATGTTCAGCTTGAGCTTTGCTTTAATTAAAGTCAGAACTCTGGATGCTTCTTGTCCTTTCCTGATGCTGGGTTTTCTCACAATTCCATCCCTTGCTACAGATCTGGACCTTGCTGAGAACAGGGGCTGAAATAATCCATGTTTTTCCATAATTAAAGAAAACTGATGAATTATTTTCTTGATGAGTTAGGAGAAGCATCACTGCTCTCTCTGTTTGCCTTGTATATACATATTTTCACCCTGACAGCTCTTGTGAAGAGGAGCAGTGAGTGAGTCACTCCTGTATTAGTCAGTGGAGGCAGTTTCTTGGACATACTCCAGAAAAGATGAGTGTGATCAGAGGACAGCAACAGAGCAGTTAGTGTGTGGTACCTGGGGATGGACATAGGATGCAAAAAAATTAAATGGGAAAAAAAAAGAAATAGAGGAGCAGGGGAGTGAGAGTGTTGTAAGAATTTAAGTAAAAAAAACCCCAAAACTCAAGGGCACTTCTATATACTCTTCTTTCACTTTCACAGAGTAGAAAAACTTCAGATGTTTTGAGTTTATTTGCTCTTGTTCTAAACTCTCCAGTGTTCATAATTATCCTTTACATGATGAAAACAGACTAAACTGTTGATTGGCATGATTGTTTTGTGTTTATCTTCTGTAGCTAGTGGGCATATTGGAACTGATTTTCTTTTCTCTTTGTTGTTGAAACATGTTTAAAAGCTGTCAGCTTTGCTGACGTTTAAGTTGGAACTTTTTTCCTCAAATTATATATTATCGTAATGTTTCAATTTTTTGATGGTGTTGGAATATTTGGGACTTTTCAGTCAAAAAAAGTTTGGAAATTAATGCATAGATGTTCTACATAAAAGGCTTGACACAAGGATAAAAACAACAAAAGCTTCTCCTTTATGAAAACAAAATATTTTGATCCATGGCCATTATTTTACTACTCTGCTGCTCACCAGCTTGTGTTTATTTCACAGCACAGCTGTTTCGTTTGTAGTTCTCCCTGCTGGTTAAAAAATAAAATACAGTGCCATTCAATTAAACCTTTTCTATCTGCTACCTGCCCTGCCATTCATTCAGTTCTTAGTCACTTAACCTTTCCCATGTCAGTTCCCAGAGGCTATGCCCTGGAACACAATGAAGGTCTCCCATGATTTCCACCTAAGCTGATGCTGAGGCTATAATTGTAATGAAACTCATTTGCAGTTTTGCTGAGGAATAAATTTAGCCCTGGCTTTCACTAAGTGTTTGTTTATAGGAATGTAAGGAACAACCTTGGATTTAACTAAGTGTTCAGTTACCTGAAGAGTAAAATCATTAACCTGTGTTGTTTACAGACTCCTTGGGCAATAGCAGAGACCACACCACATCCCTACAGACAGGACAATTGCAGTCCTGTAAACAAAACTGGAGAGACTCACACACGTGGGTAACAAAAGCAGGGCTCCAGTCCAATTACTTTGAAATTATATTCTGTAACTGAGTAGCAGGCAATTTACTGTAGTTGAAGAACCTATTTTCCAACTTCTGAGTAGCAAGTTTACCCAGTATGGACAAAGGTAATGAGTTCCCTTTTGATTTTTGGAACAAGTTTTTCTGTTCTCTCTTTCAACAGTTGCAGATGATATTTTTTATTATTTCAGTTCTGGACTTCCCAACAAAATTAATAATTCCCAATCCTAAATGAAGTCAGTGAGAAGATTTTATTTTTTCTGGATCTAGTGATCCATGACACTGTACGTTGGGGCAACACTTTAACTGTGGAATCAAATTCTGTGCTGCTGTGACTGATTTTGCCACAAATTCAGAAAACTATGTGTTAGATTTTCTTTACTTCCTTTCTAGATATCTGCAATCTGTTCTGTAGCACTCCAGCAGATATTGGTGGTTAAAATAAAGCAGAATACCCTTCTTTCAGTGCTTCTTAGTGATTCTAGCATCTCAACCATGTTGAGAGACATGTGAAATATTTCTAGAAGACATCTTTTATTTTTCAATTATTTCACAAAATACTTTGGATTTTTTTTTTTTAATGAACTTAGAAGACTTTTACTGTGAGGATATAAATAAGAGCACACACACAGAGGTTTATCAGACTCCACATGCCATTTCAGTTTCAGCTTTGTCTGAAAGAAGAGCTGACCAAGAACAAGATTCAAAGTGCCAGCAAAGGTCTTGGAGAGTTTCCTAGACTAACAAATACCACTGAGGCCAGTTGCTTTCTTTAGGCCTACTTATCAAACGTATAAAAAGCTTTCCTGGGGTTCAGAGAAGTGTCTGAAGTCCTCAGAAAATGAAGCACAACCAGAAACAGAGTTTTCCCTGGTATGTCAGCAGAACAAGCATTAACCTGTCAGTAACCCAGAGATAAGAAGGTTCACAGGAGGATCTTTTCAGTGCCTATAAATATCAAACGGGAGGGGAAGAAGAGGAGGCCCCAGACTCTTCTCTGGAATACCCTTTGAAAGGACAACAGGCAATGAGCAGAAATTAAAATCCAGAAAACTCAATCTGAATGCAAGAAACTGTGTTTTTACCATGAGGATGGTCAAACTCAGCTTCCCAGAGAGGATTCAGAATCTCATCAATGGAGCTGTTAAAAATCTGTCTGGACATGACTCCAGGCTGCATGCTGTAGGTGAGCATCAGGATTTGACTGGATGATC